ATTTGCATTATCTGAAATTTTAACAGTGTAGGCGAATTTAAAAGTTATAAAAATTGTCATGAAATTGTAAAACTGTCAATTTGATCCAAATGGTTTTGCTTAACCAATTGGTGGCAAATGGGTATGATCATTGTAACCGACTCACTATATTTTACTGTGCTCGAGAACCGATTGGAGCATAGCCAATGGGTCAGCATTCAAGTGGACTTTTCAGACCATCCAATTCTATAACCCATTGGACAATGAATCACACCACCTGGGGTCAGTGGAGACGAACAGGAATTCTCGGATGGTGTCAATGTTTTTTTTTGTTTTGTTTTGTTTGAATTACTGGAATCTGATTCCGCAACAGTCTGGTTGGCTTTACAATCATAAAAAAATCTGGAACACGCTATTTTTTACGTTTTTGGTGTGTCTTCGTTAGCCTGTGATGCATGTCGTAGTGCAAAAATTGACCTTTTTGGTCTGGTGGATCCGAACCCCTTTGAAATTGGTGCACGATGATCTGCTATTTCGGCTAGGATGAACACTATTTCCGCCTGCTTATTTTTATGGGCATTCTTGCGTGCATACTACTATTTGCTTTATTTCATTTCAATTTTGATCACAATTCATTCAAGTGCAGTTAAGAAACCACAAATAATAGTCATTGGTTGCCAAAGCGGCTACGACTCAACGAAATACGCGACCGAAAAAAAAAAGGCATTTTTTCAAGCCACCCGTTGATGAGGTGGGTCTTCAACAGTGGCAATGAGCAATTCCGAAATTGGATAAGGAACAGTCAAGAACTTGCGCTGTGTGCGACCTCCACTTCCAGGAGGACGATATTTTGAAGGACTACGTGCACAATGTTCACGATGAAGTAGTTTTGATACCGAGTGAAGAAAAGTGATTTCCTGTTTGTTTGTTGTAGCGTTCAATAAATTGTGTTCAATAAGACTTTGCTGAACTCGTTGTATTTTGCACTTTATATCCGTATAAGGGACCCGCATTTATTGAATTCGTGTACTATCTTTCCTTGAACAAAAAAAAAACACGCTCGGATCGTAAATTTGAGTTATCTGGAACGAACAAGTTGTTCTAGGCTTTACACTTCCAATATCTCCGGCGGCATCAGATGAATGTGGTGTGTGCCTCATCACATAACAATAACTAAGGTTATACGATTACGAGGCACTTGGTGTTAAAGAGGTTTGAAAAATTTGGGCACCTGTGGTTTCTCTAACATGTACCTGAATTCAAGTGCAAGACCTCCAGCATTTACCCATAAGCCGACTGCAACAGTTTTTTTAATATATACGGTTGAGTTTTAAAGAACAAGAACTCAAGACGGCTAAATTAACGCAATGCCCACAAGATTCAGGCATCGCACTCGCATCTCCGCCACGTGGCACCGCAATAGCCGCACAACTGGTGCTTTAATTGCCAACTCGTAACAACCTCAGTGCAATATCACTGAAAATAACTCCCGCAACGCCAAATTAACCGCAAGAACTTCCTTTAACACTGTGCATAGGATCCATTACGTCGCGGCGACCGGTCAAATGGCATCGGAAGCTTCACTTAGGGAGCGGGAAACGAAAGGGGCCGCGTTTCGCCACCTCGTCCCAGCGGAGTTTGCAAACTGAAGAAGAATCTAGTAACGTTGGTATCAGGCGCATATAAATACCCTTAAAAAACGTTGACGAGAGACTGTCCCACTATTCACATGCCGAATCTTATGTTAGAACGATAGTTATAGCGCGAGAACAAAACGATGACACAGAGACAAGAAGGACACGAAAGACACGAGCTATCGTCTTGCCATACCAACTAGCCCAAGCTGACAAACTTATGTTAGACTTGAAATCGTTTAAAACATCGCGCTAGCTCTCTACAAAGGCTGAGAAGTGGCACGGTGCTGCCATCTACACTCATCAGACACAGATGTCACTTTTCTTGCTCTGTTGGACGCGGCATCTGCTGCTAGCGAAACAAACTTCAATGTGCAAGCGGGGGCAGTCTCGTCTAACGCGTCGTGTTTTGTGCTTACATCCACGGCCAAAATTTCGCCCCATTCGTAACGCTCATTTTATAGGAAACGTTTTGTTGCAAATCCAACGTAGCAACAAAAACAACGCTGCCGGCAAGTCATGCTCCCGTATGAAGCCCCGCTCAGAAACATCACCGCTCGCCGGGGGTTGTGGCGTGCCTCTGTAATCCAGCTGCTTGGAGGCTTGTGCTAGTGGACGGGTTGAGATTGGGAGCCCTGCCCCATGTTGACCTATGTCGATCGGGTGTCCGCGCTAAGCTGGGCGTCGATATGGTGACCCCGGGGGAACCTGGTGGTGACCAGGTCGCCTAAGGAGGAGCGAACCGGCCCAGGGCGGAAACGCAGCAGGCAAAAGCTCCCGCGCTTTGCAGTAGTGGGATAGCACCTGTGAATGGGTGACATGGGGTAGCCCAGTCGATACATTCGGACCTAGTACTTTCTGTTGTTTTTCCAGGTGTGTTTACCACTTTTTCTTCTTCCGGGAGCTTTCTTTGTGAATAACGTGGAGCACGAACCCCTTTTAAGGATATTGGGCTATTGACGGAATATGCTATCGAATCCCACTACGGGCATTTTTTTTAACAGCTTCTCTCTCTCTCTCTCTCTTTTTCCAACGCCAAGCCACAAGTTTTGCTTCCTGGATGAGTTTCCGTGACGGACGAGCCTCAACTTGACGATTCACTGCCGCGTTAGCATGCATGATTCAACGAAACACTCACATTCCACATACCCATGGGTCAGCGTGGCCTACGTCACCTACAGCTCCGCCGCGAATATATTACGTTATGCTTAATTGCGCTGTGCGCAGCAACCAGTGTAACGTCATGTGATCGCCAAGACTTGATAAATATCATCCGCTTTGGACAACCATAATATGTCATTGGCCAGCAAATATGTTTAGCTAACAATTTCTCAAACATTAACAATATCAACGCGCATAGCAAGCATGCGCACAAGTGTTTTGTATGCCTGGTGAAATATATAATTACTTGGCAGCCGCCGGGCGTGCTCTCGGCATAAACCATAAATAGACATCTGCAGCCTTGCTGCAAAGCTTCTCAAATACCTTTAGACAGCTCCTATAAAGGCTTGGGACCTTTGGGTTAAGGGGTTCCACTCTAAAAACATTTGTTTGAAGTTCGTGATGCTTATAGGGAGCATACTGTTTGCGCTAATTCAGCGATTTCATGACATTCGAACTTTCATGACGTTCTCCCAGTCCATCAAAAATTGCCCAAACCGATCGGAGCCAATTGGAATTCTAGTCGTGTTTAGGACACTCATTGGAAAATCCTGCTGGTTCAAGTTGGTTTTGACTGGGCCTGAGCAACATAACCATTGGTCACACAATCAGTATCTATATGGTTTTACCAATTATACTAGTAGGTGAGCCCAGATCATCCATATTGGGAAAAAGCAGACAGTTCTAATGGCTTTCTCGATTGTGCTAATGGGCCTAATCTACTTTAAGAATCTGGTAGCACAAGCCATAATCCAGATGGTTTGACCGATTAGGTTAATTGGTCGTGTATACGATCCCGTAGGAAAACACCAATAGTTTTGAATTAAGGCTTTGTTATTCTCACTGGAGACCCATCGCAAGCTTTTAAATATTCACAATATGAAACCACGTTTTTATATCACTTGAACTAAGTATTGGTGAAGCCTACCAATTGAAATTGCTTCACTTATGTCACGTTTACCTGCGTTAATATAACTACGCTCGACATACGAGCGTTTTCAGCCTGGTAAGTTGTGCCGGGTGGCCAGAACGATTGGGTAATTTTCGTAGTTGAAAGGTGCAGATGAGATAAACGACGCACCTCGTAGACCGTAATAATTCACAACTATATATTCCAGAAGCAGTATTGAGATTGCAAATATATTTTGTAAACTATTTTGTTGTTTCACATCTTTACTCACTTCTGTAATGTCCAAGCCATCTGACATATCTTATGGAAACTCAACCAGCAGGTTGAGTTCTTATTAGAAGCATCCGGTGCAAAGAGCCCTTAGGCCATTCTTATTTTTAACATTTACTATGACCTTATCGATTAATCATTCCATCAATCTGACGTGTACGCTTGATGCATTTATTTCAACTACATATCACATGGGAATAATGTCGATAATTTATTAAGGGGGCCACCTTGAACGGTCCAGTATATAAGCAAAAATTTGACCCATGACAACCTCCAATTGGCCCCATGTAATGCCTGATACCTACAGACTTTTATAGCACCATGTTCCAATATGGGTTGATCGCAACAAGGTCTGCGCGATAATTTTGAATATCTGAAATTCTAATAGGGTGGGTGATGGTAAAATTTATACCAATTGTCATGACCATTTAGAAAAATTATTTCGTTCCAATAGGTTTTTGCTTAACCAGTTGGGGGCCAATTGGTATGAATATTTGAACCGACTGACTATATATTTTACTCGGCTGGAGAACCGATTGAAGCAGAGCCGATGGGTTAGCATTACAAATGGAGATTTCAGACCACCCAATTCTAACTTTGTATTGAACATGAAACACTATATCTTATTTATCACTGCTATATTCCAATATTGTATCCAAGGAAACCTATGGTCACTGTTACGAGCTTCGCAGTACTTAAACACTTCTCGAATCATCTTTGATGCACTGTTAATTTATTCCACACAACCAACTGAAGTCGTTTCGCGACTATACGGGAGGGCGCCCTCCAAGGATAAGCGTCGTACAGCGGTGGTTATCTCGAACTACAAGGCCAATTTTTCTCCTGGAGGAGCGCAGTGGATTCACTTGCTTTGTTTCTCATCTATCGCACCAGTGGCTCATTCAATGCGTCATACTCGCTGCCCTCATTGGCTGAAGCACTCTGCGCACGGCACTCGACGCGTGCACACGGCACTGCAGCGGCGACAGCCAATCACTTACACTTTGCACACGGCTCTCTACCTGCCCGATATGGCGCATAAAAGAGGCGGCGCGCTGTTCGAAACCAAGCTTCGGCGGTAAGAGCCAACGGTGAAGAAGAAAGCAGCGAAGAACATGGACCGCGCCTGCAAGTGTGGAGGTGAGTTGCTTTGAATATTCGCTACCTTTTTTGAAGGAGCATGCTTTATGCTTGGGACCGACTGCCAGTTCCATGTTAAAATACTCCTAAAACTTAGATTTTTCTCTCATTTCGTTGTGGTAAAGCCAGTTATATTGAAATATGTTTCGTTTAAAAAGTAAGGCGTCTTCTGTTCTTCCGCTTTGGGGGAAAAATCCTTGTATATCATAAGCGTTTTCCATAATACAGATCTTTTGCATCAATTTCTGTACCGAATCAATTTCAGAATAAATTTATCCTGCCTGTATATATCTATTTTGGTTTGTTGTTATAATTAATGTAAAGTGTAACTAAATTTAGTCTTGGAAGATCAGGAACATCAATGTCAAAAAGCATTCATGGCGATACTGTAAACATTGTCAGAGCATATGTGAAAGCTAGGAGTAATTGTGATACAGTAAGTATCATTTTCATTTACAATATTTGCGATGATATTTCGCGGAATAATTAGTTTGCAGTCATTCATGTCTGCGCAAGTGCTACCAAGAAAAAAAAAGCAGGGTCAGTTGATACAGGTATCACAACACACTGATTATGACACGTGCAAAACTAGGAGGCAAACAAGAAATTACCTGCAGCATACCGCATGTACCAAGCCGAATTCCGGGCTTATATAGTTCATAAGATACGGCTTATTCACCACTGTTTAGTTATGAACCTAAATATTAACAATAAGCCGCCTCACACTCAGAAAGCTCCTTGTGGGCCTTATGCTGACCGTCGGTGTTTGCAGCATTGTTGTAACGTTATAACCTCAGATGGAGTATGTTACTTAGAGTAAGGAGGAGGATTGAAAGAGGAAGGACAGGGAGGTTATCCTACTTAGAGTAACATTACAACAGTTGCATATGGTAACAAGTCCATAACTAACCTCGATTGTATCGCAATGTTTTATAACGGACACATTTTACTACGCATGCGTGTAGAAGCGAATCCAGGCACTCATTTTAGGCGGGGGGGGGGGGGGGGGAGGTCGCTTGAAGTAACACCGGAGAGGTAGGGAGGGGGAGGGGAGTCGTGACTTTATGTTTTTGCAAGCAAAAATACCCCTTCATAGCATAAATACTGTTGAAATCTGCTCACGGTGGTTGCACTAATTTGTTCTAATTGGGGATAGGAGATTCTCTACAAGCAATGAAGGGATAGAGGGGGGCGGGCGATCGCCCCTACCGCCCCTCCTCTGGATCCGCCACTGCCTGCGTGGCAAATTTGCAGTCCTCAGTGAATACAAAGAAAGCACAGAACTGACATTCTTCAGGACTAGTTTTGGTGTCCCGATATGTTTTTAGTTCACACGTCAGCGTCTGTATCGGTGAACCAGTCCGGGACCCGGTAGATACTGCGCTTTCTCGTATATAACTATAGTCATGGGTCCGTTTCCAGGCCGTGACAAACGTGTTCGAGGTGTGCAGAATACGCTATATTATGCCTCTGCGCTGCTCTTTGTGCGCAGCATAAAGAGAGCAGGGTGCACTGAATTCAACGAATGGGTTTCTACTATAGGGTCGTTTTGTTTCCTATATAAGCCTCGACGTTAGCCAACGAATGAATTTCCGCGGATCGTTTATTTTCTATATATATGCGTCCTTATTTTCTTCTCTCGCAGATCCCAAATGCATTTGCACGACACAGTGCAAATGCTCAACGGGAGGATGCCCTTGTGACAAGTGCAAGAAATAGAATGCTCATATATCAAGAAGGTGCGTATACGAGAGCAGAATACGACGTGTTACACGGAAGAATAATATAAACATATATACAAGTTTCTTTATATGTTTATGATATATATAGCACGTATAAACGTATAACATATAACGCGTGTAACATACTTGTTAGTAACATGACATTGCAATACGGCAGCATCTGCTAGATGCGTGCCACATGAGTTATCTTATACATCCTTTGTTATGTAGATACATTATTAAATTTCATTCCCTGTCTGGCACACCCGCCTGCGTCACAGGGGGGGATGTTACCACACGAAAGTGATTATTATGGTGAATCCCGGAAGGAAATTTTTTTTCCCACGAAATCGTGGTCGTTTCGTTTAACTGCTGCAGTTTTCCTTCAGACCAAAAGTATGCCAAGCAAACAGATGCTTACAGTCACAGTTAGCAAATACACGGATGTTCATTTTGCTGCCATTTTTACAGAAGTACATAGCATCTAATAACACCTTCGATATCGGTTTACTGTTCTTCCCACGAGCACACAAGGTGTAAAATGCCGGGCGCGTATTCATATAAATGTCGTACGCTCAAATGTTCGTTAGAAAATATTTCAGGGAGCCATACAGTGTTGCCCAGTAGCAGATAAGAAAGTAGAATAATGGGTATCGGGCCCATAAGGAAGGATACATGCTTCTCCGTTCTTTTGATTTATACTTGTCAACATGGTTGATTGGGCGAGTTCATGATACATGATTGTTTGAAATGAGACCGCACTACGTAGACGCGGACAGGACAATCGCTGTAGTGAATTTACCGTGTGAAAATCCATTACAGTGCCTCGTATATTCTGAGAACTATAAATCCACCGAGTTCTGTTGCTTGATATGCTTTTCGAAGCATGTCGTATGCCACATTTGATAGGCCTTAACCACATAAATGCCCGCGAAGTTCACGTTGTAGAATAATTCAACGATAACCGCAACATAACTGCTTTGATTTGCCGCGAATATTCAGTGCGTGTCGGCAACAGCTTGGACCACCTGCTTCCGCTGCGGCTTCAGTCATTGGTGGGCATCGTATAACGTGCAAGAAATGTGCACACAACTTTTGTCACTCATTTTATCTATTTATTGTTTGCAGGCTGCAACACTACATCCAATAAAACCAGAATTACTCATCAGGCTGTTGCATGGATCCCCGAAAATATTGACAATTCAAACAGGAGGAAATTCCGAAAACAAGAGGACTTGCGCGGGGGCCTTGGAATTAGGCACCATGAAAGTATTTCAACTATAGCAACCAATGACTGAACGGACATTCAATAAATTATTATAAATATATCAGGGTGTTGTGCGTGTGAAATGAGAGTGGCGTGCTAGGCTGCTCTGTGATACATAGGCGACATCGCTGGTGTACTAGCCGGTGGGAAGTATGTGACCCCCCCCCCCCCCCCCCCAGAAAATTTTGAATTTTGCATGTGTTCACAGCACACATGCAATTTAAACATGAACACATACGCAAAGTATGTTACCCGCCTCTAAAGAAATCTAGCTGTACAGGCGGAATCAAATTTCCCTGTCGAGCAGTGGAGCACGTGTAGACGCTGTTGTCGTTCGCCGCTGCTACCTTGAGTTAGCTGCATTCCTACGCTTCAATTATGGCACAAATACCGAGCATGCAGTATGGCTAATGTATGGGTATCACTGTTGTGTCGCATTTTCCATATTACTGCGGGAAACGGCAGCCGAAGCGGCCGAATGGGCACTCTAGACAAGTGGTTCCGTCTGCACTACTAACCAACATATACTCTGGGTCCCGCTTTTGAAGAATGCATGGAAACTGGTAATTGCTTCATTGTTTATATCTGTTTCTTTTTTTCACTTTTCCAGATTACGGGCCAGGTATGCACATGTAATATTGTCCTTGAATATACGTACGTGTCTTATTCTACCACATTGACGACGCATTAATCATACTCCATCCTACGTTTTCCCTTTGTCATCTTATTTAAACTGGCAACAATAAAGGCTGAGAGGATTCAGAGAAAACGTGAATCGCTGCATCTGTGGGTACTGCATATAATGCACAAAATATTTGGAGACCTAGTGCCACTGAGACACTGATAAGGTGCATAGTTCAGGGAGAAATAGTGTCTGGCGAAGTTCTGAAACAGTTGACTTCATTTCACCTTCCCAGCGCCCTCCGTAACCTAGCGACGCGCAATGTTCTTGGAGGACACGTTATGCGCGCTTTAGTATCGTCCGTGTTCAGGCAAGCGGTGCAGGTGGCGCGGAAGCGAATATGAAGAAAGCCGAGACTGGTCTTTGAATGGATATCCATGTTCGAAGACGTTGTTTGTAAAGAAGCTACTCCAAGTGTGCCAACGTTTTTAGATTTTAGAAAAGTATCTAAAAACGTTGAAGTGTGCAAATTGGTGGTGATTTCGGCTTTATGCCTCTAGGTTTGTAGTATCAGAAGTCTCTAAGGCTATGTTTTTGGCTTTCTGAATTCAAAAACAAAAACAACATCTCACTTCATAAAGATTCCGTCTCTAAAATCAATTTTTACAAAGTATCTACATTTGAATCAAGTATTAGTTTAGTTCACATTGTGATGACAGCGTTTTTTTTTAATTTTAAATATTGAGGTCATTATTTCCCCCAATGCAAGCACAAGAAGTGATAACGACAGTTAAAATACCTAAAAACGCCAAGTTTTACATACAGCTTTAGTTATTATTTCTATAAAATTTTATATGTACTTAAATACACACGTTTAGTTGTGTAACTATATATTCAACAAAAATAATTGTCTATCATCATCATTACTCACGAGCGGACGCGCACATGGGATAAAAACATGCCCACGTCCGTGTGAATGGGAGTTAAACGTGATTAACTAGTTCACCGCAGTTAAATACTGGGTGCGATTTTCGTCGGTCAAAAGAAGTGTTACTGAGGTAAGGCTATTGTCTTTGAATTATCGATCGCGGCACGCTGCCGCATGCCTTCAGTTCGCTTTATCAAAGACTAGTTTAGAACGTAACCCGACCTTTTGATTGTGTGTTTTGTTTGTGGTTGCTGCTGCTCTTTAACTAATCGTTGTGATTTACACTGAGTTCGTCAGTGTGGGCCGTGCAGCTGACTATAATTGTTAATAGTCCCTGTTGCGACAGAAACGAGCAGTGTTCAGCTTGCAGTGCATACCTGCGTGCTGTGTTCACGTTCTTTGCACGATACAAAAAAGAAACACATTCTTATTTTTTCGCTCATTAACTGCCGAATAAGAAATGGCCTGAATTTATATCGCCTTAATAAGTTAAGCCCATTAATTGTTCGTCATATCGCGTACAGCCGCAGTGTTTCGAATCGCAAGATAAACGTGTTTGTGTCACTTTTTTCCAGCCCTGGATCCGTTCATGCATTTTTTTCTTAGAATGCATTTCGCTCATGTCGTTTTGCGACAATCTTCAACTTGGGTAATACATGTTGCTACTTCGATCGCGATCGAGTTCTATAGAAACGGAATACCCTCATCGCGACTGGCTGCCTTCCGCACTTTGCGCTGTTATTGTTGTTGTTGCCCCTTCGCACTGGCACATACCCACTATGGGGGATTGGCCATGAAATCTAGAAGTATCCTATATGAGATATATTAAAAGGTTTATCCTTAATGAAAAAACTAATGATGTAATAGAAAATAATAATTAACTAAAAAGGAATATTAAACTAAACAAATAATTGAAGATTGAATCAAGAAGAAAAAAGGTGAGGTAATACTACAGTGGAAGACAGAAATTTTGAGTAGACCAGACAATCGAGCTTATCTCACCCGGTCACAATCAAATGAATATGCAAATTTCATTCAAAATTAGACAAGTGTCTTCAGAAATATATTTAAGCAGGCATTATTATGACATGCGCTTTGATTCTCGAATGAAATTGCATACAGCATCGAATACGCTCATGTGGCAATGTCCCAAGCTAAAGGCACCGAAACTTAGAACATTATCTGCAGTTAAATTTAAACCTACTGCTTGAAACGGAACAATTAAAAGTCTTTTCCTAATTAATGAATAGTTTTTACATGTTATAAAGTAATGCTCTATTGTTTCCGTTTCTTCACAGAATGGACACAGGGGGGATATCGCCAGACCAGCTCTGTGCAAGTAAAAGTTTAATGGAGGGACACGACATCGAAATTTGGTTAAAATAACTTCTAACTTTTTAGATTGACTCCACTGAGGTTTCCAGGGGTATGTTAGGTGCTGATAGTCCGTATATTTAGTAATATTTTCCATAATATCCGTATAAATAGCCCATTTTCTATATCTGATCGACACTATGTGTTCCGATTCTGGTAGTACCGAGATCACAGGGCCATCAAGTGTGGCTCGAGATAGTGAATCGGCTATTTCATTCAACCGTATGCCACAGTGTCCCGGGACCCAGACTAACTTCAGGAACTTCACATGAGGTGGAACTAATGTTTGTAATGTCGCTAGAGCTCTTGATTGTTCTGAAGCTGTGAGAGTAGTACACAGCGAAAGAGAATCAGTAATTATCATTGCACTCTCTTCGTTTGAAGGAAGTTTTCGTAGCGCTAAAATAATAGCCAGGAGCTCAGCTTCGAAAACCGGAGTGAAGTCTGGTAGTCTTACCGAGAATGACCAACCGAGGTAATCTGAGACGATTCCTACTGCTGCCTTTTCTTTATTCACAGAAGCGTCTGTGGCTATTATGTTCTTTATTTCCGCATGAGCTATGTAGTCTTCTAACCTGTCATTTAAGTAACTCGAAGATTGAAACTTAGATAGTGGGGGAAAAATTTCATCACATTCTATCGTAATATTGTGATTTAATGCTTTGGTTCCAATTACCGATCTGATATCCACCTTTATGCTTTCAAGTTTCTTTTGTACAAAAATAATCTGGGGAGTACGAAAGCGTGGCCAGTGAGCGAGGAAGAAGGCGTCGGGGTCACTAATAAAGGCATATGCAGACCGTCTCGCTGATAAGCCGTAAAATTTCAAGTATGTTTGTACTGTTAAGATACGGAATCGGCAAAGAATAGTTGGTATGCGAGCTTCCTGATATAGTACATTAATAGCGACATACCTGGGGAGTCGCAAACACAACCGTAACGCTTCTCGCTCTAATAGAACTAACGGTTTAATTTTGTACGTAGGGCCACCCGAAAATAATATACACCCAAATTCGAGTATTGGGCGCATGTACATTTTATATATCATTAATAAGGTGTGTCTACGTAACCCATATTTTCTGTTGCTCAACCTTCGCAATAAGCCTGAAGCTCGTTGTGCCTTTGCCACGTTATAGTCTATGTGAGGGCTCCAGTTAAGTTTCTCGTTATAAATAATGCCCAAATATTTGATAGACTCTACTTGTGGAATCGGTTCCTGATTATAAAGTACTGAAATTTGAATAGAATCTGCTATAGGGAACACCAGGAGCGCACTTTTACTGATGTTTAGAGACAATGAAATTGAATGCAGCCAAATTTCAAGAGAATACATGTACTTTTGCAATTTTTGATGCAAAGAATAAATGTCACTATCTGCAACGAAAAATGCAATGTCGTCTGCATAAATGTAGACAGTGATATCTCGTTCAATGGGAATTGAGCTCATCAACACATTGAATAACAGCGGAGATAGGACCGCCCCTTGAGGTACTCCACGTTGCTGTTTGAATTTAGATGAGTGACATCCATCCTTTGCACAATAAAATTCTCTCGATTTTAGAAACTCTGCTACCCAATCAACAATATAACGCGGAAAGTCACATTCGTGTAAAGAATTCAATAAAATTGAGTGCTCAACGCTATCATAAGCTTTAGCTATGTCTAGTGTTACTAGTACCGCGTATTGTCGTCTTTTTCGGGCAAGCTGTATTCGGCTCTCTAAGTCGGCATGAGCACACCAAATTGAGCATTCGCTACGAAAACCTATTTGAAATGGTTTCAATATTAGCTTGTCAGCCATCCAAACTTTTATTCTATTATTGAGAACTCTCTCTATAATTTTGATCAGGTGAGATGTTAGAGAGATTGGTCTGATGTTGTCAATGTTAAAACCTGACCCTTGTTTTTTTAATATGGGAATCACTCTAGCTATTTTCCAGTCATGTGGTATCCAGGCATTGCTTAAGGAATAGTTTATAAGGTTGAGGACGTCGCCGGGTGATATCTGGAATAAAATTTTAATCATAGGAACTGTTATACCGTCAGGACCAGGAGCCGAAGAGGGTAAGTTTCTAATTACGCTTGACATTTCGGACAATGTCACTTTTTCGTAGTCAGTCTTTATAGAGGACTTTTGCCAGTTGATTGTCAAAGTCGACGAAAATCTGTTAGCTAAACCTCTTCCGATTGCCTCTAACGAATTAGTCATTTCTTCCGTCGATAACCTGTCATAATCAGAGTTAGCTAGAGACGGCAGAATTTTGCGCGATCTCATATATCGGAATAACGCTTTCTTATTTCTAGGTTTGGAAAGAAAGTCGAAATGTTTTTTGTCATAGTCTTCTTTAGCTTTAGCCACGGTGCGCTTAAATGTAGCAGCAATAAACTTGTAATCTGCCCAATTTTTGGGGGACTGATTATGAATTAGCTGCTTCCAAGCCGCTTGTCGTCGTCTATGATCACGAGAGCACTCAGAATTCCACCACTGGCTACAAGGCTTTCTCGTATCAGACTCAATAGAAAATTCTGCTTTTTTGTACGTTCTTTTAATTACCGCACTTAATTTCATGGCTTTATTTTCATCGTTGTCTTCAGTGGGGGTAGTCAAAGCAACTTCTAGGTCATTTTTAAATTTGGAATAATTGATAAAGGTTCGAGCTTGGGAGTAAGATGGAATAATGGGGCAAGAAATTTCAAACAGTACTGGTAAGTGGTCACTGTTGGTGGCGCAGTCTAGAGTAGTCCAAGATACGCTAGAAATACCCGAGCTTATAAAACTCAAATCTAAGGCAGAGCGGGATCGGTCTCGGATAAATGTGGGAGTTCTAGCGTTGAGGCATGATAAATTATGGTCTATAGACCAGTCCCACAAGCGTTGTCCACATTGATCAGTCCTAAAACCCCAACTAGTGTGGTGAGAATTAAAATCTCCAACCATAATTTTTTCTGTGCACCACGAACTAACAGCCATGTCTAAACATCGCGTGTCTTGTACACCCAGAGGAAAGTAAAGATTTACCAGAGAGAAGGGAGAGCATCCAGGCAAGGTGATGTCTAAAGCGAAAATTTCACATTCGGGGGATATACTTTTGTACGAAGTTTTGATCTTTGAACTAATTTTATTATTGACAAAGAACGCTAAACCTCCACCTTTGGATGGGCGATCCAGGCGAAAAGACCGGAAATTAGGTAGGTAAAACGAATTATGTGCTGACAGCCACGTTTCTTGCAGTGCAATAATGTCTGGATTGAATTTACAAGATAAATACAATAAATCTGTACTAGCTGAATGAATAGATCGGCAGTTCCAATGAAGAATTTTGATAGAACCTATCATTTTGACAGAATTGTTTCGGCAACTACCTTATCTAAAATGCTGTCTTTAAGGAAATCGCTCTTCGATAGGTTCTCCTTCTGGTATTTTTTGTTTTTTGAATGTTTTGAAGAGCCAGTATTTTTGGAGACAGGGGATCGAGTGCGCTTTAGGGATTTGATGTCCATGTCCATATCATCATAATCCTGATCATCCTCTAGTATGTCTTCACCTATCCTCTGGTTGTCTGTACAAGAGGGCCCTGCAGCCTGTACCCCTGAAGGAGATGACTCTGCGTCTGCTTCACTTGGTGGGAGAGTTACGTTGTCTTGGGAAGTATCCTTCATATCTCTTGGTGTCCCATATATTTGCGTCAACTGAGTGGCTACAATATGAGATAAGGAGTCACAAAGGGTGGTGGCCAGGCGATCTATAGCTTTCTC